ATGGAAATATTTTAACGCGCCTTCGAATTAATTCAATTATCAAAAATATTAAAAATAATATTTCGTAATGCACGAAGGTGTGTTCGAGTTCCAATTGGAAAAATAAATGCTTAAAGAACTATAAAACTTGGGAAATTAAAGAAAAAATGAAAATATATTAACAAATAAATTTAAATAAAAAATGTCTGACAGTAAAAAATGGCTGGCGCACACTTCGCTACGATAAAGTTAGGCTCTTCCCTATGAAGTAGCAGGGACTACCCGTTTTTTACTTTAAAAGATCCGCTACTTCTAGTCATTATGTTGTTACTACCCAAAAGTTACTTTGTAGTATCGGTTACTACTTTGGAACTTTATTATTCTTAAATGTATTTAAATTTTGTACACTATGGTAACTACTGTTACTAGAAAGTTACTTTGAACACCCAAAAAGTCGGACAATCAGGCATTTTGTGACAATATAGTTCCATATGTTTCTATAAAGTTCCGCCTACCTCTCATCTCAAAACAATTTAAGAACACTATGATGTGTCTTGTCCTGACTGGTTAAAAGATGCCTAAATTGTATTTTTAATCATATCTCAATTTTTTCAAATGGAAGGAGGATGACTTATTAGCATATTTGAAAAAAAAAATTTACGAATAATTTGGTACCACACACTTGTTATTTCGAGTCAAATTGCCGTTATGAACCGATGTTACAATTTCAAATAAACCATATGAGAAAATGTCATATTATGATATGTCATTCTATTCAGAGTGTCATTTTCTATTGAATTAAGCAAAAAATATTGAGGGTGCCATTTAAAAATCAAAAGTTGTCTTTTCCGATGAAACATGAAGTGACCAAAAACAATTGAATAAAAATAATGATGAAGGAGAAAATCGAATTTTTACTTTCACCCTAATCTGATTTACATCAATTCCAGTCTCCAAAATCTCATTTAATTCTGTTACAAAATCATGTAAAAAATCTTGTAATGGAGGTTTTGACTCGCCACAATTTATAGCTGCCAACATGGGTTGATCGCAAGGATATTCATGCATTTTTAGGAGTATTGGCCAAAATTCTAATGGAGAACACTTAAATGAAAGCAAGCCGTCAACAATAAAAATTAGAGACACCGATTCTAGGTTGGTCTCTTCGGATAAACGTCGTGCTACTAACAATGGCACAATATCTCGGTGTACTCAATAAAGTCCTGCTGTTTCCTGGCAATGATGTTAAGCCTTCATTTTTTAGTATACCAAGTAAATCTGTTAAAGCAATGTGGCTAATTTGGTGTTTTAAGGCCCATTGCCTTAGTTCCTGACTGATGTTACTTTTTTCTCTGATGAGCTCTGTTTTATCTTTAAATTCATCAGTAGTCACCAACTCGACATTCCTAGAAAAATGCAGCTACAAGAACTAATAACAAATATATAGAAAATACGACAATTATACATAATAATATGTATATGAATTTCCAAAAATAGATTTAAAATAATTTATTGTCATATCAAAGCCCAGTCATACTTCTCTAAATTTAATCCAATAAACCCTTTATACTGGTGAACTTCTCTAGGAAGTTCCACTAGCAGCGCAGTGAACAAACAATTTTACTGATCTTTATTCTTGTGGTAACGGACAGGATGGGTAAATACGCGATCTGCTACTATAAAGAAATATTTTTTAGTTTCCACAACTTTATAGTAGCAAGGCGTCAATAGGAGTATAGTACCCGTTACTTTATAGTAACAAACCATAGTCGCAGCTACTATTTTGGGACCAACAATTAGTAACCAGTAATTAGTATCCAAATGCCTCGTAACTTTAAGACCCAAAATATAGGGTACTGCGACTATTCTGCGACTAAGCATGGGACTATATAGTAACAAGTACTTCATACACCCATTTCAGTAGCACAGACTGGTAGCCGTTCCGTATTTATTGTCACTGTAGATTTTGCACTTACGCAACAACACATTTGCTACCTTAATTTTGGGTGTTTAAATTCCAAATGACTAGTAACAGGGTGGTAACAGATACTATCCAAAAATACTTTGCAGTGGTATTGCCGGATATAGTGACAAATTTGGTAACAGGGTGCACCCAGGAACTATGTTTTGGTAGCCAGTCTTAAAGCGGAAGGATTTGGAACTATCTGTGTTGCTTGGGATTGGTATGGTCGGCTAAAAATGAACATTTTTTGTAATTAAAGCATTACATATAAAATTTTTAGCGATTCTATTAAAAAAAACATTTGGAATCGAAATAAATAAACATTATTTATACAGGGTGAGTCTTAAATAAGTGCAAATATTTTCAGTACTGATAGATCTCGATAAAAGAAACATATGTATTTTCTTTTTACCATTTTTCAAATAAGTCCAAAATAACCGAGTTATTTACTTTGAAAATTAAAAAAAAATTATTTGGTGTGGTTTGGTTAAATAAAAAAAATAACATTTTTTTTATTTAAAGCATTTTAAAAATTATAAAACTTGTTAAAAATTGTTAAAGTAATAAAAAAACGTTTGAAATGGAAATAGATAAATATTATATTATACAGGGTGAGTCTTAAATAAGTGCAAATATTTTCAGGACTGACAGATCTCGATAAAAGCCTTATAAAACATTTTCTCTTTACCATTTTTCAAATAACTCCAAAACAACCGAGTTATTTAACTTTGAAAATTAAAAAAAAAACTATTTGGTTTGGTTTGGTTAAATAATAGGTAAAGCATTTTAAAATTTTTAGCGGTTCTATTAAAAAAAAACTTGAAATGCAAATAAATATTATATTATACAAGGTGAATCTGAAATAAGTGCAAATATTTTTAGGGTTGGTAGATCTCGATAAAAGAGACATATTTCCTCTTTACCGTTTTCAAATAAGTCCAAAAATAACCGAATTATTTTACTCTTTTTACTAATTTACAAAAAAAAATATTTTTTACTAAAATTTTGAGAACCAGTGTATCTTTTCTAGGTTTTCTTTCTTGTAAATTTAATCTACTACCTATGTTGCCATATTATCAAAAAATTATGTTTTATAACCAACAACTAATGGTGGGTTCATACAGCCAAATAAAATAAAATAAGAATAAAATAAAATAAGAAATAAGGAATTCTTATTTGTGTGCGTTCATACAGTCAAATAAAATAAAATAAGAAATATATATTTGCTCATGCGCAGTACGATGAGGCTGGATAAAAGTTAACTTTTACGATTGTTTATAGTAATTTTACTATTTATAGTATATTTATTTATTCGTTGCCTACTATATTATACATTTTACTTATGTGAAATTATAAAATAAATTAAATCCAAACTGAAAATATTTCTAGGTTAGAATTAAGCGTGCGCAAACCCGTTTTCACATAAAATAAAACAAGAAGTTAAAAGATAAAGACTTCTTATTTTATTTGTTATTTTATTTGGCTGTATGAACGCATGTAGGGTATCCCATATAACCAACTTTCTTATTTTATTTTATTTTATTCTTATTTTATTTTATTTGGCTGTATGAACCCACCATAAAACAAAATCCAAAAAATTCATGAATTTGTCGTTTAAAAAAATTGTGATTGCTTGTTTTTCAACGATCATAAAAACTTTTGATTAAAATGTGAGCCTGTAGCCAGTATTAGCGTTAAATAAAACAGCATCAGTTATTGCCTACTACTTTTAATTTATTTTATTGACCCCGCCCCAATAATAAAAAAGCCTGCGCACGCTTATGCTGTATAGCCCGTAGCTTTTTTTTATATTGCGTAGCTATTAATCTAGGGCTATACAATGTGAGTCTTAAATAAGTGCAAATATTTTTATGGGTAGTAGGTATATTTCGACCCCATAAACATGTCTATGAAATCTTTTGGCACAAAAAAAAATTGAAAAATTGTTTGCAATATTTTTTAGTTCTGAGTTAAAAAAACATAATTTCTTGATAATATGGCAACGTAGGTAGTAGATTAAATTTACAATAAAGAAAACACAGAAAAGATCCATTGGTTCTCAAAATTTAAGCAAAAATCATTTTTTTTAATTTTCAAAGTGGTAAAGAGAAAATATGTTTCTTTTATCTAAGAGATTTATAGCCCTAAAAATATTTGCACTTATTTAAGACTCACCCTGTACCCTGTATATTATCACAGAATATCTAGCTACGCAAAGCTAGATATTCTGTGATATTATGTTTGTGTTGTTTTTTTTTATCGATAATATTCATTCACCATTTTGTCAAGTAACAATATGTATACAAACATGTTTTTGCAAAAACAGAGATATAGAAACAAAATATTTTATGGGTATGTGTGGTAAGGCAATATGCATAATTTAAAAGTGTTCTATAAGAAAAAATATAACTTTGATATGGATCTTAGTTCTTAATTATGCACATTGCCTTCCCACATACATATATCCATAAAAATTGAAAACCGAGGCGAATGAGATGCGCCACCCTGTATAATTCTTGTTAAAATTACGGTATTCATAGAGTATCTATTTTCTATTTAGTTCTAAATTATGTTTCAAATATCATATACTTTATGGAAGTCCGAAACTCTTTTAGTTTTAATATCATATACTTTACACTTTACACCAAGCACCAAGCATTTACTAATATACGAATATACGCAAATCTATTTTTATTAAAAAATATTTTTGAGATATTTTTAAACCTTTTATTTTTTTTAATTAGATATTAATTTTTGATGTTTTATGTAAATTTTTAATTTATTTATTATATTTTTTGTCTGTGAGGATGTGTGAGTGATGATCAGTGCCGTTCTTTAAAAGTCTTTTAAAGAACGGCAGTGGTTTGATGTTGATTATTCCTCATTAGAAAAACTACTGTGACTGTGACCTGTGACCTTATAACCTCATTGCCTGTGACGCGTTTTATCGTCGTACACTTGTCGTACACATAAAATAATCGCACACAAATAATCGTCGTACATCTTTCGTACATTATAACCTCTGAGTATAACGGGTTGCATAACATTATAGAATTTCAGTGTAAATGATTTCTGCAACCAATGAAACCAGTTTTGTTTTTGTTAAATCTCAATTCCCAATTCAGAACGATTCAGAATTTGAGCAATTAGTTGCAATAATTAGTGGTAAAAAAATTTAGTTTATTATTTTAAGGTACATGTAAATACTGGTAAATTTTAAAAGAGTTTATATACCTGTAAATGTTGGTAAATTTGAGGTAAATCATAGAATAAGTGAGGTAAATAGTACAAAAAAGTTATAAACATGGCAAGAAATAGGTAAATAATGCTTACCAATAATTACTCTATAGACAAAAAGTATGATTATGATATTTATAGTTTTAAGATTTTTCCTGGAGCATTGGTTTGCGAAGAATCAAAATTGAGAGGCGATATAACTGTAGGTGCAGGCACTATTATTCATCCTAGTGCAAGTATCATAGCTGAAGCAGGTCCAATTATTATTGGGGAAAATTGTTTAATTGAAGAGCAAGCTAAAATCATTCATAGGTACCATACTTAACTTATTTTTTCTCTGAATTAATTAAAAGTGTCTAGATTACCATTTGATCAACAAAACAAAGACAATACTCCAGTTCTTATAATTGGTTCCCATAATGTTTTTGAAGTTGATTGTACCATTGAAGCTCCCAAGATTGGAAACAACAATGTATTTGAATCAAAATGTTTTGTTGGTAACAAAGTAACTGTTTCCAATGGATGCACTATTGGTGCTGGATGCAGAATAACTGATGAACAAATACTAAAAGAGAATATTTCTATATTTGGATCTAAATGTCAAATACGGGAAAGCATTGATAAACCTGTGGTAAGTAACATTATTAAAGGTAGATTTAAGAAAACAATATTAAAAATATTTAAAAGCATTTTATTCTTAATAAATATTATACCATATGATTGAAAGAAATGGTGTTCAATAGGCTTACTATAATATTACACACAAAATGTCAGTAACACCATTTTTTTTTTAATCTTATGGTATTTAATGTCCTAAAGAAAATATCCAGTAGTCAACTAAATATTTAAATAAGTAAGTAATAAGTACTTTTAACTCTTGTTTTGTTCAAGAAACATATTAATAATTATTTGCTGCTGTTCTAATGTCTTAAGGTGACTAGTTCGTTCTTGAATTTCTAGGTCTAACCGTCTGCTCCTTTCTTGCTTTTCTAAATCAAATTTCTGCCTTGCCAATTTATATTCTTTTTCTGCAAGTGATATTTTTCTATCTTGGAGCTCTAATTCTTTTTTCTTAAGTTCTACCTCTGTTGCATGTTTTTCTTTCAAAAACTGTAATGTGACTACATTGGTTATCTCTAGAAAAATAGTATATATACTTATTTTATCATTTTTACAAAACTTATAATTTTCTTACCTCCACCCCCATAACCTGATGTCACATTCGCATTATTTTGTAAATTTAAACTTTCATCATTAAAGTCGTCATCCAAAAACATATCAGTATTTTCTTCCGCGTCGTCATTTGATGCTGTAATTATAGTAATCATTGAAGTACAGGTATATTTATATATTATGTTATAATTGAAATGGAACACAATATACACCACTCACATTCAGATCTGCTTCGCTTTATCGTCCTCTCTACTTTCGGTTTTTTCTCTTGAATGACATCAAAATATTTCTCTTTCAATACCAAAACTTCTTGCAGCATTTGTAACTTCTCTTGGTGTTCTTCATCACTACCTTTGTACCGAGCTTTACTAAAATTAAAACAATGTTCGTTAGTCAAGGTTGTTTTATTAAAATCATCATCACTATTTATTCAAAACATTTTAGGATTCAAAATCTTATTACATCTATACTATGGATCATTTTTTTTTTGTTTATACAGGGTAGTCCGAACTATATTCCGGAAACTTCGGCAGCATATTCTGCAGGTAAAAGTAAAAAAGTTCGTATAAATATGTCCCAAACCCAAAATTCTTAGTTTCGGAGATAAAGGGTGTAGAAATTTCACTTTTATTTCTATTTTTTCTAAATAATTTCTGAAGTAATATCAATATCTGATGAAAATTGGTGACATGACCCCTACTTGTAGAGGGCGCCACCTACATATTTTTTAACTGGTTTGAAGAGTAATAACTTTTCGTCCGTACCTGTATAAAACTACTGAGTAATAAATATACATTTCCGTCATTTTTTTACGTAAAAAAGGTCTCTTGGTAAAAATCGCTACGAGTAATGGTTCTTAAGATTTTTGGAATATAGGTTATCAATACCTGTAATCATTGACATAAATTAAACATGTTGACTAAATAGTTATTAGACTGAAATCGTAAATTTGAAATGTTTTTGTGCTAAAAGTTCAACAGAAACTGTTTTATCATCATTTTTTTGAAAAAAAATTATGATTAATTAAAAAAATAATAAGTTAAACAAATTATTTCAGTCAAATAACTATCTACTCAACATGTTTATTTTTTGTCAATAATGACATGTATTGACTACTTCCATTCTAAATATCTATTGGGAACGGTTACTCGTAGCGATTTTTACAGAGATATTTTCACGGAAATGTATATTTTTTTCACTCAGTAGTTTATACAGGTACGGAAGAAAAGATATTAATCTTCAAAACAGTTAAAACACATATGGGTAGCCCCCCTACAAATAGGTGTCATATTGACCTCAAAATCAAATTTCTCATGTCAAAAAACTCCCAGACACTAGTTTTCATCCAAATATTGACGTTACTTCGAAATAAAAATAAAATTTCTACACCCTCTATCTCCGAAACTAAGCAATTTAGGACATACATTAAATGTATGTCCAAAAAGACGAAATAAAAAAAAGAAGTTCGTATAAATTTTATACGAACTTTTTTACGTATTTTTATCTGCAGAATAAACTGCCGAAGTTTCCGGAATACAGGTCGGACCACCCTGTATTGTTTGAAAACGGCAGTCGCCATCAACGTCTCAAAGGGAAACGTTAAATCGAAATATTAATGTTATAAATACAAAAAAATGTTAATTTTTTAAAAAGCAAATACATCTCTATTTTTTCCCACTGATTTATGTATACCATTTAAATTGAGAGTATTATTCATATGGTGTACACCCTGTATATCTGCATTTTGAAATAAATACATAGTATATATTTATTATTTAAGGTATTCACATACCGAACGCATCTGGTTAATTTGAATAAAATCGATACTACAACTACATTTTCAACATAACATCATTTTTATCAACAAAAATACAATTAATTTTTTAACATTTTTAAGAGTTAATAAGGAAAATTATTTCAGGAATGATATTGCTCTCCAAAACTATTCCGTGTACTTAATAACCATCTTATATGCATAATTTCTATATTTTAAATTAATGTCCCATGAGTCGATTTTCTTATAATAATTTACTGTTATCTTCGGGAATAACAAATACTTTTAATCAAAGCTTTTAATTAATCATGTGTCAGAAGGTAACAATTCTTTTCAGTCTGGTTGTTTATGTTTATTTTAATTTTTAATCCCCAGTGTGTTACGCCACTGGTCGTTGAACTCTCCTGAACTGAAATCTTTTTATTTTTATTTAGCGTTCCTATATTACTTACTTTTCCAAATCTCCTTTTACATAAAGTTTCAAAAGATAATCTACGTGCTCCCTAACCGAGCGGAGAGTGTGAGGACGGCCCGTCATGCGCACGAAATTATCATGTACCGTACTCCATCTATAAGGATCTTCGAACGGATTTCTGTCTAAAACTTCCTTCAGAAGCATCAAACTGTGCTCGTTAGTGTAGCGAAGTCTTTCTCTAGGCTTTCTCCACATTCTACCGCCACTCATATTAATAGATCCGGTCGATTACCGCTATAAATTAAACTTGAACAAACAAGTTCAATGTTCAGAACGCTATTTATACCGTTTGACGTTCCGACAGTCTTGCGTCTAGCGTCCCGACAAACACTGCCGTTTGTCGTATCGATTCGAGAGTCGTAACCTCGGTTTTGCGGAATCGTGGGTTTGTTCCAAGACGCTATGAAATGGCGCTGAAAATAAAAACGGTTGGACGAAAGGACGAATTGAATTTTGTTCGTTTTCTATTCTAAAACTTTATTATTGAAATTTTGAGAAAAATGTAATCTTTATAAAAAAATTTGCTAATTGTTCTAAAAAGGTTAATCCCGTTTTAGAGAAAATTCAATAATAACATGAAAATATACCGCGTGCGTCTCAGAAGTGGCTCACCTCTATAACTTTTTTATTTTTTTTTAGATAAAAGATTATATATATAGATATATAAAAATTAGGATTGATTGACGTATTCAATTGTTTTTAGTCACTTCTTGTTTCACCGGAAATTACTACAACCTTTGATTTTTAAATGGCACCATCGGAATTTTTTTACTTTATTCGATAGAAAATGACACTCTGAATCGAATGACATATCATATATCAACTTTTGACATATTTGCTCAAAAACAAATTGAATTTTAAATTTCAATCTAGAGTGCCATAACTGTGTTAAAAATACTAATTTTTAATGAAGGAGTCTTGGAAAACTAGATTTGATCGTCTAATGTTTTAGTGTCTTGTCCTGGCTGGTTAAAAGATGCCCAAATCTTATTTTTAATAATATCTCATTTTTTCAAATGGAACGAGGGTGGCTCATTAGCATATTTTAAAAAAGCTTTTTTTACGGATAATTTGATACCACACACTTGGTATTTCGAGTCAAATTGTCGTTATGAACCGCCTGATACAATTTCAAATAAACCATATGCGAAAATGTCAAAAGTTGACATATGATATGTCATTCTATTCAGAGTGTCATTTTCTATCAAATAAAGTAAAAAAATACCGAGGGTGCCATTTAAAAATAAAACGTTGTAGTCATTTCCGGTGAAACCGGAAGTGGCCGAAAACAATTGATTATGTCAATCAATCCTAATTTATGTCATATACTAACATACCAAATCTCGTTGTTTTATCTAATGAAATAAAAAAGTTATAAGGATGAGCCACTTTTGAGACGCACCCGGTATAGTTGATTTTTTTCCTAAAATCAAAACACGTTTCTATGGTAAGATAATTTTGTTTTCATTCTTCGATAAATTTTATTATTGATAGAAGTTTAATTAAAGTCACATTTTTGTTGTTTTAAAATGTTTCAATGCTGCGGAAAGGGTGATAATAATTATTGGAAAATATGACACTTTAACAACAAAAAAATATGACGTTAATCAAAATTATTATAACTATCTATCAAAGAATGAAATCGAAATTATATTATCATAGAAACGCCTTTTGATTTTTAGGACTTTTAAGAAATTCAGCCACATTTTTATGATTTTTTAATTTTCTCTGAAACGGTATGGAAATTTGGAAAAGTATAAACGGGATTAATTATTTTAGAACAAGGAAAAATTTTATGAAGAATGCGTTTTTCTCAAAATGCCTACACATCTATAACTTAAATAATTTTTTAAACATTGGAAAACAAAATCCCCCGTGTGCCTAAGGAAAGATAAAAAATAAGTTTGGAACAAACTCTTCAAATGGTTTGCGGAAATTTATCTCCTAAGGATACGTCATGTACAGTGGCGCAGGGAAATTGAAATATAAGTATAAATATTATAGGCAGCGATCCACAATGATTCAAACAGCTTACAATACATCGTTAGATAATTTTAGGATTAGTGATTAGTAGATACCGATGACAAAACAAATTATCATGACATTATTTGACAATTTTTTTATATTGCAAGTTTTGAATTTGTCAAATCTACTCGTACATGCCTATTTTTCAATGTAAAAATTACTATTTTTCACTACAAATACATGTTTATAGTCTTTGATTATAGCGTTCAACGTCGAAAAGGAATATTTACATAATTATGGTGTATTTGCGACCAACACTCTAATCAAGCTTAGAAATTGAGTGTAATCGTCATATTAACTTTTATTCAATACCCAATCGCATTTTTAGAGCGCAGTTTAATTATTTATTAAATATCTGAAACGTATGGTTGGATGATTTTGAAATAGTGTTAACTTGTTAACTAAGAAGTAACAAAAAAAATGGGACAAAACCTATAAGTCCATAAAAAGGTACCATATGATAGAAAAAAAGGCGTCCATTTGGCACGGATGATCGATGATATTCACCATATAATTTTACATATAAAATGATAGCGACCTTCATTTCAAAGCCATCGCTGACGCCATTTTTTCTTCGACCATGTACATTTTGCCTCTTAAATTTATAAAAATATAGAACTTTTTATTGTTAATTTGAAATGTATCATCTGATATAAATATTGGATACCTGCTAACAAAACATGTTTTGGGATAAAATTAGTTTATGATACCTTAATATACCGGGTGTTTTTCAAAAGTGGCTTACCTCTATAAATTATTTTATTTTTTCAGTAAAAAAAATTGTAAAAATTTTTGGTACGCTAATATGACATAAATCAGGAATGATTGACGTATTCAATTATTTTCGGTCACTTCCTGTTTCACCGGAAATGATTACAACTTTTAATTGTTAAATGACATCCTAGGTATTTCTCCGTCTTTATTCAGTAGTAGGTACATGACACACTGAGGGTGCATCCACACTATCCTAAGAACGGCGTATCGGCGTCACGGCGTAACGACCTTGAATAGATTTCCAGTAATTCTATTGGCTGAAAAATTCATCTGTCAGAAATTTTATCTGTCAAATTCATCTGTCAAAAATTTCAGCCAATAGAATTACTGGAAATCGATTCAAGGGCGTTACGCCGATACGCCTTTTTAGGATAGTGTGGATTCACCCTGAATATAATGACATGTAATATGTCAACTTTTGACATTTTCGCATATTATAGTTTATATTATTTGAAATTGATACATACGGTTCATAACGACAATTTGACTCGAAATACCAAGTGTGTGGTAAGAAATTATTCGTAAAAAAATACTTTTTCTAAATATGCAAAAACATTAAATGATCAAATCTATTTTTCCAAGGCTCCTTAATTAAAAATTAGTTTTTAAGATTTTTTATTGTGATTTTTTTTTAAATTATATATAAGTTTCACATTTCAAGATATACTTTTTTTATATAATTACTTTACTTATATTTTCTTTTTTAGCCCCAAATTTTACAAATGGAGACATTAATGAAAATTTTGCCCAACTACCATCACATAAGAAAACCAAATAAAAAACATTAAAGATGTTTTGTTTTACTTATTTATTTATGTTACATATGTATAAGTTAATTACTCAGTATAAAATTCTTCTAATATTAATATATGTTGTAATTAAGACATAATTATTTTATATTGCTAATATACAAATTAATAAGTATAAGTTTCTTTTTTGTTTAACTTAATGATATGTAAAAAAATATGAGATCTATTCAAATTGTAAAAATTGAAAACAAAGTAAGCTACAAAATGCACAAATTGTCGCCATTGCATTTGTTAACAAGCCTATTAGTGAGGGCAGTTATGATTTCCTGGTTTTTCATTGCCACTTTTATATACAAATCTCTTTCTGCTCTTTCAAGTTCCATTCTTTTAGTTCTTTCAAACTTGTCCAGTTCAAATCTTTCTTCTTCTAACTGTAATCTCCGTTCTTTTAGTGCTAATCTGCGTTCTTCAAGTTCTAGTTTTTTCTTTAGTAACACTTCTTCAATGTCCATATTCTTTTCTTCCTCTTTCTCTTCAGTTTCTTTCCAGTAAAAGTCGTCTTCATCTGAAATTCAGTTTAATGTGACTACTGCTTATTAAATTTATACAATATTATAAAAATAGCGTCAAGTAACCTTAGAACTGACGATTTGATGATTTCCTTATAATTTAAAACAATTATCACCAATCAGCATTTCTGAGATATCTTGCGTCAATCTGAACTACTCTACTGGGTGCGTCTTAAAAGGCTGTGGCTCACCCCTACACCTTTTTAATTTTTTTTCAGATAATAAAACGAGATTTGGTATGTTAGTATATGACATAAAAGAGGATTGATTGACGTATTCAATTGTTGTCGGTCGCTTCCTGTTTCACTGGAAATAACTACAACTTTTGATTTTTAAATGGCACCCTCGGTATTTTTTTAACTTATTTGATAGAAAATGACACACTGAATAGAATGACATTTTATACGTCAACTTTAGACATTTTCCCATATGGTTTATTTGAAATTGCAACATGCGGTTCATAACGACAATTTAACTCGAAATACCAAGTGTGTGGTAAGAAATTATTCGTAAAAAAATACTTTTTCTAAATATGCAAAAACATTAAATGATCAAATCTATTTTTCCAAGGCTCCTTAATTAAAAATTAGTTTTTTTAACACAGCCATGGCATTCTAGATAGAAATTTAAATACAAAATACTTGAATCAGTGCCTTCTATTAAAAGATCAGCCTACGGGCGGACTTTTGTTTACTTCATCAGCTGTACATACTTAGATATTGGGTTAGATTCTGTTTCATATTTTGTCGGTTGATTTTTGGTTTTAACTCTTTGATTTTTGGTATTATTTATTATTGTAGTGCAAAAAACTAATTATTTTGGTGTTGAAGTGACAAAACTACTACCAGATATATGGTCACTCTCGGTTTCGCATAAAAAAATAGAAATTTTAAAAATTACACGTTGTGCAAGTGATTTAACCTAAAAGTGCCCATACATTTTTTACTTATCGTGATTTTTGTGTGTGTTTTTTAAGACTCTAACAATTCATCAATAAAGCTTAAGTGGAGTGTGTTATTGGTGCTATGCCTCATCTTTGTTGTGTTCCTGGTGGAAAGGATAGTTACTAAGGATAGTTATTATACTAGGCAGCCTAAAGTGTCCGGAAGAGCAAGAAAAGTGGGTACGAGTTATAAATCAAGAGAATTTTATTGAAAATATCTTTAATAAATTTAAAAATAATATTCTCCCATGATGGTATTAATGAAAACTGGACAATTATGTTTATTTTATTCATATTGTGGAATCTCCACTCCAAGTGTTGCTGGTTTAGCTTCGATAGATTCAAACACGTAAGTAGGTATTATGAACTAGGGAAAAATAAAGAATATGTGTATTAGAGATCATGAAAAAGATTATTATTTTGAGTTCAAATTTTAAAAAAGATTTTTGTAAAGACAAGACTGATACAGTTTAAAAGAAGAATGTGTTTTTGTTTGATAATATATAATGTATGTTAAGCATAACAATATTTGTTCAGTAATTTTTAATGAATAGTATTGATTATTTATAATACCAAATTAATATCAAATATTTAAGTGATGGCTGAATACAATATAAATAAAATAACAATAAAATTGGTATATTTGCATAATACAAAATTAAGTTTTAAGAATAAAGGTGTTACTAAAAATACTAAGAAATTCATATTTCTTTTGTTTTTAATTGGTCTAATGTTATTTACATTTTACGTAAGAATTATACCGTATCATCGAAAAAAATCGGCGTCTAGTTGGCTTTGGAAATGAACATCGATGACATTCCCTAAATAACTGTACACATAAAATAATTAACTAGAATTTTACAATCTTGGAAAATTTGATATTCTTTTGAACCTTGATTCTAAATATTCTAAATTTTTTGATTTTCTTGGAATTTAGGTTCGGGAAAAACGCTGATTGATTTTTCATTTGGTTTTTCATTATTTTTATTTGATTTAAAAAAAAACGGTTCGGCTAACATTATAGCCTCCATCAGTGTTGTGTCATATGAAAAAAATAGTGTCGAATATAATCCAAAAAATTGCATATAAAATATTCACACCACTCACATAATGTTTACTGCGTACTCCATAGTCAATGTAGATAATTTTAGTGTTAAGAATAATAATTTTAAAAAATATGTGGTCATCTTTTGATAAGTTTATATTAGTTTATTAATTGCAGTAAACATTATGAGGTGTGAATTATATTGTATATGTAATTTTTGGATTATATTCGACACTATTTTTCTCATATGACACAACACTGTGAAGGCTATAGTTAGCCGAAACGTTTTTTTAAACCAAATAAAAATAATGAAAACCCAAATGAAAACTTAATCAGCGTTTTCCCGAACCTAAAAATCCCAAAAAATTTTAGAATAATTTAACATATAAAATGCCAGCGATCTTCAGTTCATAGCCATCGCTGACGCCTTTTTTAGATAATATTGTATTATTTGTAAATATAATTTTTCGAACATTGATACTTGCAAAATATACATATAAATTTTGTGAATGCAAATAATAATACATCACTATTAGTAGATATTAAATGTTTTTTGTTAAATTAGATCGATTTTCAAACCCCAAAATTTAAAATATATTTACATTTTACCCATTATCTTATGTACCTATACATTATTTGTACAATGTAAAACATTTGCTGCATTTGTATGGTTCATAGTTTATTTGCCAAAGTATTTATTACTATAAATAGGTATATATGTTGTAGTTATTAACTGTATATTATGTATATTTCATTTAAACTATATCATTTTTAAAATACAAACCAAAAATCTGAGGAATAATTATGTTTTCCATGTATTCTACAACATATTTATTAATCCGTTATATCTAACTAGCGTGACGTCATAAATCTCGCCCGCAGGCTGATCTTTTAATAGAAGGCACTGCTTGAATACAAAAATTGACATGATATGTCATTCTATTCAGAGTGATATTTTCTATAGAATAAAGTAAAAAAAATACATAACAAGGGTGCCATTTAAAAATCAAAAGTTGTAGTAGTTTCCGGTGAAACAGGGAGTGACAAAAGAATTGAAATACATCAACCAATCCTAATTTATGTCATTTTTACCTGAAAAATAAAAAAGTTATAGGGGTGAGCCACTTTTGAGAAGCACCCGGTATAGGAACTGCTCTATTAAACCAACTATTTATTGAACATTTGTAATAGAAATGTTCAATACTTTGAAGAAAACTGGTTAATATCTGTTCAACAAGAGGATCCTTGGCAGTGACAGTTAGGTCTGTCATTTTAAATTTACATGCAAATTTTAATTTCTGTCATTTTTTGGTTGTGCTGTGTTGAAATCTTTCCTGAGTTGTTGGACAAATTTTAGTTTAAATTGTACAGTATGATTGAATAATAACGGCGTCAGCGATGGCTATGAAATGAAAAACGCTGTCATTTTATATGTAAAATTATATGGGAAATGTCATCGATCGTCATTTCCAAGCCAACTGGATGCCGTTTTTTTTTCGATCATACGGTACTTATAATCATAATTATCCATGGCCCATGTCTTGGATTATAAAAATATACTTTAGAAGACATACATATTTGGTCTAATTAAACATATGACATAAATATAGTACATTTAAAAAATACTTACCACTATCGCTCATTTCTAAAATATCTTGCTTTATCTCTTTCTTCAAAACCATTTTTAAAGAGTACTTGTCTATAATAAATATTAAAACTTTTAGTAGTATCCTTGTAGTATCTATATTAATTTTAGTTAGTAAATGCTAGACTGTCTAATATATGAGGCTACCAGCGCAAAAACGATCTAATCCACAAACCCGCAAATTTGAATGATATTTATTTTGTTAAATTCATTTTGTAACTTTATAAAAATAAAAGTTTTAAGCTACAAAATTTCCTTCATTAAGAGTTTTCATGCAATTATTAATATTGGCCTAGTAAGTTTGCAAATAAATTCATAACGAAAAACGGCCTAACCCATATTTTTTAGTAATCAACATTTATTATACATATACTTATGTCTAAATTTTAGTTCATTAGGTCTTTAGGCAAATATTTGCAGCAAAATATCAAAATACTGTTTGAAAATTAAACTAGTAGCATTGTCACTAAACTCTATTCCAAATTTTCTCAAAACATACTTTGGGGTTAAGCCATTTTTGCGCTGGTAGCCTCATATGGTTTAGTATTTACGAAAAATTACTTCTGTGTGATACAGCAAATCAGTATATATGGAAAAAAACATTTTTGGTGTACATACATATTACATATTTTCACCAATTTTCTTATGTAATTATTTCATACCAGTGAGTTTTCATCATTTGCTGTCCTCCATTCGCGAATTTCAAGTTCCAGAGCTTTAAGCCCTGGACTACTTGAGAACGGTTCTGAAAGGAGCTGTGCGCGATAGCTTGGTGCTTCCATATGACGCGGAATAGGTCTGAACTTTATGACTCAATTGAATAGAGTGAGAGTATCGCGTTCTTGAATAGTTCAGAGCTGCACAACTGCGGGAATGGAGGACAGTAATTATAAATAATGAAAAAGTACCAAAAAAAATATAGTGATACTACTGAAAACTTATTTTTTCATATTACTGTTTTGTTTTTGTAGGTAAGACTAGTTATGAAGGAAATATATTAGTAGTGCGAGGGGTAAACTGGTAAAGGGGTAAACCGCTGACAAATTTCTTACACTAATACCACGAATAAAGCCAAAAATGCCAACTAATACCACTAATACCAAATAATGCCAACATCTTGTAGGTATACTAAAATATACCAGCAGTTTAGCCCTCCTAGTAATGTCATACTTCTAATAGATAAATCTATTTTACAGATTTGAAGCAATACCAACTAATTTTTAAACAACTGAGTAGGATTATTAATCTAACTAGTATATCATGCACAAAATAGCACTCTTATGGGGAAAGCAATTAAATATTAGAATGTTTATTACCATTTGTAATATTTTCATACTTTGTTGATGGGCTAGGATAATCATCAACATTAAAATTATTATTCCTTAGTTTGAGAAGATCATGAAGTAAAGACTTTTTATTTAAAAATTCCTCTGGACTCTCTTTGGGCCTTCTAAAGAAATAAGACCAAACGCTTTACAAACCTTATTATAGATGTATTAGGTATTATGTGAAAAATATATTTTATCCCACTTACATCTTTAGACTTCCCTTTGTATATAAATTGAGCAAATGATTGCAGTGATCTTTGCATGTTCTAAGTGAAAAAGGTACATTACATTCATTCACAAAATTTTCATGAACGTCCTTCCATCTACTTACATCTTGAAAAGGATTTTGTCGAAGAATTTCTGTAAGAAGCTGATAGTCCTGCTCTATAGAGAATCTAAGTCGTCTTTCAGTTGATAATCTAGACATTTCATAAAATTTTATACACACAACTGTTACACACAAGGTCCACGCTATAAATAAGACATAAATAAACAAATAAGAGCACAGAAGAACAAAGACAACTCCTATAAACAAATCATCAATAAAGTAACTCCCATGACCGTATAAATAATACTCTTGTTTTAGAAAGATGGAAGATTATTTATGTGTTTAAACTTTTAGCTCTATGTGTATTTCAAGTGTATTTATATGCTCATAACCTCTAAAAAACGGAAATGTAATCTGTCATTGACGTTTATCATAAACCAGCCATAGAATAAATAAAAAGCTGACAGCAGGGTTCGGAAAATGATGACATACATCATACATCACACCAAGCATCACACATACATACATAAACTACACTACATGTAATTAATTAATCGACGTAGATGGTGTAGTATGTAACTTTTAAGTATTTTATACAAGGTTTAGTACAGTCAGAAAGCGTTTTTTGCGACTAAAACAAAATAACAGAAGTGGCCCGACCAAAAGCGTGTAGCGTTCGGCGTGTCTGGAAAAAAACGCGGTAATGGTGTGGATCCGGTGGCTGACCTTGAAACGAGTTTCTGCTGCATATAGCCACAGACACTACGCATGCGCACATCTTCGATGTTGCCAGATTGTAAGTTATTTTGGAATTATTTTCAGTAGAAAACAAATATGTGTTTTTCAGTGTTTTTTGTCAATATATACCGTATGATCGAAAAAACGGCGTCCAGTTGGCTGGGAAATGACGATTGAGGACATTTCCCATATAAAATGACAGCGATCTTCATTTCATAGTCATCGCTGACGCTATTTTTTTTTCAATCATAGTACGCGGTATATTATTTATATCAAGGATTTATATATTATTTTAATATTTCGCACAACACGTGAACGCTTATTATGTATTTTCATAGTCAATAAAATTAAATAGAAATAAAACTCTAGATTCCTATAATTAATCTAATTGCTCTAGATTATTATGCTACGTTTAAAAAGGGCTTTATTAAAAATTCGGGAAATTATATGTCCAAGTTTTTCCTTTTTTTTTAATTTTTAAATGCTGTAGCTCCATGTCATGTTCATAATAGGTTTTCTGCTACTTTAAGATTTCTCTATTCTTACACCTAATTTATGTGATTTTCTTAGCTATAATATGATTTATAAACCAAATATATTTTTCCTAATGGAAGGATGGAATAGGATATGCAAAATTAAGATATTTTAACATTTATTTTCCAGACAAAGCATAATATAGTATTAAGATTAAGACATAATAAATATTATAAGAAAGATCTTAATATAAATCACAAACTAAGTCTTAATTTGGTCTTGTATAAACACAGGTATAAAACTAATAAGATCAAAAGTCAACCTTCACCATATTGTCAATATTTGGCATTATAGGAAACAAGAAATTGCAGTAAATTAAGAAAAGAATATCAAAGTACACGATATTAAATACTGTAATGTATTCTACGACACAAACCATCTCCCTTCTAAAGAGAAAAAGATAAAACAAAGCTTATTTTAGTCTTATCAACACTCGTCGATAAAATATATGTCTAAAATTGCTATTAATCCACTAACTTGATATTTTTAAGAAATTATATGATACAAACATTACAATCAAAGTATATTATATTAGTAACATTATAGGTAAAATATGTTACCTCTATCTCCCATTGACGTTTATTGTTCTATAAGACTCGTCATGGTAATATTTCAAAACATCAATATACATATAATGAAAACTATTGTTGCCTGTAAATAACTAGAAATTAAATAACTTGAAAGAAATAAAATAATTCTAATAAGTTTAAAACCATTAAGAAAAAATCCGTAAATGATAATTTTTAATTCTAATGTAAATATATAAATAAATGTTATTATTATTCAACCACTTCCATATCTCTGTTATTATTACGTACAATTTTATATATTCATAATACTTTCATTTCACAATCTTCATTATCCTTCTTACCTTAATTTTGGATATCAAGATAAATCTGAAATTATAAAATTAATTATAGAATTTGTATTATTATTGATTAACATTCAAAAAAAAAATTCAACTGCAAATAATTCGAAAATAAACTGCAATTTGGCAACATCGACGATGTGCGCTTGCGTAGTATCGATGATCAAATGCTGCAAATATGGCCTTCAAGGTCAGCCACCGGATCCACACCTTTACCAAAAACGCAAATGAAAACAAATCAATTTGTTTTCTGAAAGGTTTTCTGTAGCGTCCAAAGATATTAATTGAGCAATATCTGTGGTAGCGTCTTTAGCGATTTCTAAGATGAGACATGGATGAGACAATTGGAGACAATCTAAGGATGAGACCCCGTCATAGGCGGACGTAATATTTAAGAATACAATAAAAATAAATGAAATAGTATGTTTTTTTTTCATTTTAGGGTGTATTATCCATAGGTATTATCTAAAAATATTTTTATAGAGAACATCTACTGTTTAGGAAGATTCTATTAAATTCAAAAATTTCAAGGAAATGTTTGAAAAAGAGTAGTTTGAAATGTCAAAAAAGTAATAAATTAAAGGAATATTTTTTTAATCATGTTTTTAATCGTAAAAATTTTTTGCGTAAAAAGATTTTTTTACGCGTAACAAATAGTTCTTCTCTCATGCTTCTCTCTACAAAAAAATGTCAACATATGACATTTTTGAATATGATTTATTTCTCCCTTCCATTGTCTAAGGTTTATTTGAAATTGCAACATGCGATTCATAACGACAATTTGACTCGAGAAACCAAGTGTGTTCGAAAAAAAACCAAATTATTCGTAAAAAATGCTTTTTCGAAATACACCAATGAGTCACCCCTGTGTTTCATTTGAAAAAATTGAGATATTATTAAAATTACAATTTGGGCATGTTTTAACCGGCCAGGATAAGACACGAATAGCATTAGACGATCAAATCTATTTTTTCAAGGCTCCTTGATTAAAAATTAGTGTTTTAAGCACAGCCATGGCACTCTACATTGAAATTTAAAATTCAATTTTGTTTTAAGCAAAAATGTCAAAAGTTCATTCGTTAAAGTCATTCGCTATTCAGAATGTCATTTTCAATGGAATAAAGTAAAAAAATACCGAGTGTGCCATTTAAAAATCAAAACTTGTAGTCATTTCCGGTGAAACAGGAAGTGGCCGAAAAGAATTGAATACGTCAATCAATCCTAATTTATGTCATACTATTACAGTTGAGGGTTGGAACCTTTGGTGTTACACATATTATATATTATATATATATATATATATATATATATATATATATATATATATATATATATATATATATATATATATATATATATATATATATATATATATATATATATATATATATATATATATATATATATATATGGATGAAAGAAATTTTCTTTTTATAGTTTTACAAATAAGTCAATCAATATAAGATATTAACAAATTATATAAATACTAGTTGAAGCATGGCGCATCCGCCACGAGATCAGGAAAAAAAACTTTTTATTTTTTTTATTAAATGAAAAACAAAAAATCCGGCGACGACAGTTTTTAGAAGAACCAATTAGCTATGTTTTAGTAAAAAAAGCAACTTTCTAGGGCAAGTCGTTACTTCAGTAGAGACGACACAGATTAACATTAGCATTTTATATATCTAGATTTATGTAGATACTAACTATGGAGTGTAGAGATACTAAATACTAAATCTCGTTTTTTTATCTGATAAAATAAAAAATTTATAGTGGTGAGCCACTTTTGAGACGCACCCGGTATACACGGTCCGCCACTAGTGCGTCGGGCATCTGTACTTCTTAGAATAAAAAACGTGGAAATTTTGTTTAAGTGCTAACCTAAAGTATGTACTAGGGTGTATTTCAGGAAAATATTTTAGCTTCTACAGAAAGGCTAAAAATATATATTTTTCAGCCTTTCTTAAAAAGATTATTAAAAATACAAGAACTGTCCTGAAATCAAAACTATATTATTACTTTGCTATAAATTTTCGTAATCTTAAATCATACAGGATGTTCAAAATTGTACGCCAAACTTTCTAAAATATAAAATAAATTTTCTTCTTTTTTTTAAATGGAACACCCGTTTATTATTTTTTTTTTAGTAAATGGAGAATTAAAAAATAAACATTTTTTGTATTTAGAGTACTTCAAAATTTTTAACGGTTTCGCAGATATTCGCGGTTTTATATTTCATATTTATGGCATTTTCCATAGTAAATTTTTATCAAAGCCACCCAATGATTTTTCTTTCATATTTTACCGTTGAAAGAGCCATATGAAATACCTATACCGCGAGTATCTGCGAAACCGTTAAAAATTTTGAAATACTCTAAATACAAAAAATGTTCATTTTTGAATTCTTCATCTATTAAAAGAATGATATACAGGGTGCTCCATTTAAAATAACGAAGAAAAATTACTTTATATTTTAGAAAGTTTGGCGTAGAATTTTGAACACCCTGTATGATTTAAGATTACTATATTTATAGCAAAGTAAGTACAGACCATCTAAAATAAAAACCTAATATAGTTTTGTGTGTTTTCTTACAAACGTACCATTAGCTTTCTCGTACAAAGCTAATCGCCGATGCAGATGATAGGGGCCTTAAGATTCTTACAATTGTTTAATTCGATATACAAGGCCGGCAAGATACCCACTGATTGGCTAAAATCCACTTTTATCCCATTACCTAAAAAACCAAACGCTTCTCAATGTGATGACTACCGGTTAATCAATCTGATGTCGCATGTCTTCAAAGTATTCCTCCGCATAATTCATACCCGTATATACAACAGAAGCGAAGGACAGGTTGGCGATACTCAGTTTGGATTTAGGAATGGAGTTGGCACGCGCGAGGCTCTTTTTACACTAAACGTAAACGTAAAACACAGCGATGCAGGGATATGAACGTCGATATAGGTATATGCCTGCTTTATAGATTATAGAAAGGCCTTTGACTGTGTGTCGCATCAAAAACTCGCCGAGATTCTTAGAACTACCGGGGTGGATGAAGGGGACTTACGCATTATCACCCAGTTATACTGGAACCAGACTGCAGAGATCAGGGCGGGTGGCGGAACATCTGATATAGTAGCAATTAGGAAGGGCGTCAGACAAGGGTGTGTATTATCCCAACATCTACTCCGAGGCGGTATTCCGTGAGGCACTAGAGAGCATTATCAAAATCAATGGCACCCTGATCAACAATATTCGCTTCGCAGTTGATACGGTTGTACTGGCTGGCAACATCCTAAACCTTCAGAACATGATGGACTGCATCGTTGAACATAGCATGTAGTACGGATTACAGATCAATGTTAACAAAACTAAACTTGTTGTATTTTCGAAAACACCGGGAAAGACTGTCCTCAGAATGAACAAGGTAGTAGAACAAGTATCGTCCATAAAGTATCTAGGAGTCCTCCATAACGACGCTTGCGACCCCAAAATTGAAATTTTAGCTAAGATCGAACAGGCCAGACGTTCTTTTGCTTCCATGAAAACCCTCTTCTCCAGCCGAGATCTAAGTCTCGAGCTGCGCATACGTATGCTGCGTTGCTACATCTTTCCAGTATTTCTCTACGGCTCTGAGAGTTGGACACTCAATCAGACATTGGAAAACCACATTAATGCTTTTGAGATGTACTTGTATCGTCGTATGCTGCGTATATCCTGGATGGATAGAGTGACAAATGAGGAGGTGCTCAGGCGGATGGGCAAAGATAAAGAGCTCCTATCAACAGTGAAGGAAAGGAAGCTACAGTACGTCGGTCACATCATGAGGGGTAATCGATACGAGGTGCTCAGACTGGTCATCGAAGACAAAATTGAGGGCAGGAGATCAGTGGGAAGAGGGCAAAACTCCTGGCTTAAGGATCTGCGTCGTTGGTTCGGAAGAACATCAATTGAAATTTTCAGAGGTGCGGTTTCACGCACCATCATAGCCATTTGGATCGCCAACCTCCGAAGGGAGAAGGCGGCCTAAGAAGAAGAATATAGTTTTGATTTCAGGACAGTTCTTGTATTTTTAATATATTTTTTAAAAAGCTGAAAAATATATTTTTTTATTTATTTATTAATATCTCTGAAACTATCAAAACTTATTTAAATTTTTTTAAGATTATGTAAAGTGATCAGAAAGGAAGCCAAAAATATAATAATATACAGAGGATATTCCCTTAAAAAAATCATCCTGATCCACTCACACTTTTTTGAGTCACCCCGTAGAGGTTAAATAATTTTTCTGAAATACATCCTAATACATACTTTAGGTTTGCACTACAAAATTGCTAAGTTTTTTATTCTAGGAGCTACAGATGCCCGACGCACTATTGCCGGACCCTGTATAATAATTATACAGGGTCCGGCAATAGTGCGTTGTAATTATTATATAGGTATTATAAATTATTGTAAACTAGAGACACTTTATAAGAAATATTGACACCGGCCGAATAACTTTTTTGCGCCCCCTTATAAAAGAAGATACACATTTTTTACCTCATTTAATAGCATGCTTTAACTAAACTACAACTAAAGATATATTTTACTTTAATATTAAATTTTGACTTTAGGATACTTCAAAACTAATATTGTATTGTATTATTTTCTTAATTCTTTCTGTACCGGCCCTTCCGCCGGCCCTGCAGTGTCACAGAATATGTTTACTGAAATGCTGACATTAGATTTCACTCATATTTCACTTTTTCAAAGTCCTCATATGGAATTTGGCCAAGAACTAACATTTAGAACAATTAAATTGATTCAAATTATTGATTTATTATATTTAAAGGACCATTTCTTGTTTCTCAGGTCCTAAAATTTCTTAATTATCTCAAATAATAAAAAATTAGTAAATTAAACAAAGAAATATGAATTCCTTATAATTTTTATTATTTTTATTACAAAATCTGATCCTTAAAACCTGGTCTTACAGTTATATTAATTTTATCTTTTAAAAATCTTTTATTCTGAACTTAATTTTCTGTATTCTCTGATAATATTTTTTTATACTTATTTTATTTTTGGTAATTAAGTTTCCTTCGCCATTTTGTCATGTATAGAATATTTATGTCTCCGTTTGTGTCTCCGTTATGTCCATCGATGAAGACAAATTTGTCCATAAAGAGAGCAACTCCATGACAGTGTAAAATATATACTGTCGACGGATAGCTCTCTTTATTTTCAAATTTTGTTTGCTCCTTTTCTTCTTACAACCAGTAATCCCAAGTAATCTAAAACATGAAAAATTTTTATTTAAATTTAATTTTCATCAGGTTGCTTACAAGTTGAAAGTATTTTAATATGTGCTTATTTTATATAATATACGTTACGATATTTATCATTATACAAACTGAGAAGATTTAACCTTTTTGGAGAAACTGAGTTTTTATCAGGCCAAATTTATAATACCGCTATAAACCTGTAATTATATAATGATGCCATTGTTTTTATAAGGATATAAATTCCAAGTGACACTCCGGGATTTAATATCAAATAGAACTATCTACGGCTGAAGGTAAACATTACAACATTACATCTATGCTCTACCAGTTTTTATCTTAATCTTTCTATCCCCACATGCAATATTACATGGTAATTATTTGCTAATTTAGTTCATATTTTTCTCAGGTAATATTTAAGTATTTGCTTAAGAATATGATATGGCTTATGTCTATATACTTCTCATTCCAATTAAAGGTGATTAGGAAAGAGAATTTGGTTCATAGTGATGAACTAAAATAAAAAATAGTAATGTTATAGTAGCTGCAAAATTATTCTTGCTTGTGGCTTTTGAGTATTTACATTTTCAAAAGTATAAAAGAGTGTTTCATTTATATTAATATTTAATTTTATGGACCTCTTTATATTTTTCCCTGGTTCTATCAATGTATTCAACAGTTCTATTATAAACCGGTGATGGGATATTTTTGAAATTTAGGATTTTTTTCTTAAATGCATCTTTTGACCTAAGGCCGTGGCCCAACAGAGCGGACAATAAAAAAATATGCTCCGTTCCGCACCTGCATGTGGGGCCACTTCCATTTACTTCAATGCATTTAAACGCTTCGCGGTCCTCTCCGCTCTACGCGTAATGTTGTACGCCTCACGCTTCGTCGTACGTGGGAGACAAAAGCGGGCGATTCGGGCGATGCGAGCAATAAGTGTTTTTTCAAACACCATTTTCTTCTGAAATCGTCCTGCGTCGGCAATGCAGGACACCTTTATAAGATAGATAACAGAGCTAATTCATAAGTTTCATAAAAAATTATTAATTGTTCATAAGAAAACGTTTTTTGATAAAGTCGCTCGCATCGCCCGCTTTTCGCTTCATCCTACGTGGGACATAAAAGCGTACGACAACAGAGGGCGATGAGCCCTCTGTTGTCGACATATTGATGACTCTGTTGATGACATATTTGAATCGCCTACGATGCCGCTTCAGTCGCGCGCATCTTCTACCTAGGACAGCTGCGTAAAAAAACGTTTGATGAAACGTAGGACAACGCGTCATGTGGTGCCACGCACTTAAAATATTTTCAGCATTACAGTGTTGCCGCATCAATTGAAAAGTATTAACATCTTTGTTATTTTAAAGAAACTCCCGGTATATTATTACGTTTTTTGGAAACTACTTTAATATCTCATCATTTTTCTATTATACTACCCTATACCTATATTTAATAGTTTTCGAGATAAAAATAAAACGTGTATTTCACAAAAACACGATCTTGAATAAGGATTAGTAAAATCATGAAATGAGAATATTTAAACTTGATATTTGGAATAATTAGCGTAACTAGCAATTCATCCTGGAGCCCGGCTGGGGTTGAGCCTAGGGGGGGCCTAGGTCTTTTGTCTTTTGTTCTTTAAAAAATGAAGAATAATATTAAAAAACACATTTTTTGTTTAAAACGTTCACATAAATTTCTCTATCAATAAATTTCATAGACTTGGTTATCAAACCGTGTTCCTGTAGATCACTTAAATACCTACAAATTTTCTAATAAAATAAAAATTATCACAATTTTTGAACATAACAAAATAATTTTAACTAATTAAAACTAGAAAACGTCATTTTTACTACATCACAAGCAAATAAAAATTAATACGTAGACAAGAGTCATAATTCAAGATTTCTCTGGGGGCGCCCAGCAGTACATGGGGGGGGGATGTCACCCCCGGGCACCACTGTAGTTACGCCAATGTTTGGAAAATAGATGAATGAAATGTCTAAGTCTAAATCAACCGATTGGGTATCACACAGGGAGATTGCTCAAATCTTTGTCATCGTAAATTCAACTCTATCTATATTATTTAAAAAATCGAATCAGGAATAAAATTGTTTTTCAATATCTTGTTCCTATACTTAAACATTCTGGTTTCTTCAGTAAAGTCGTTTTGGAATGAAAATATGAAAAATCCCGAATTTTATTTGATGATTGAAAGGCTTACATATTTAATTTAGGCGGGTTTGGATGAACTAAGTACACTTGGATGCTGCCATATAACTGTATGTATGTATGTACCTTATGTATCTTATAGTAATGCTGCGCGCGACTTAACATTCAAATAAGTTTGACAGCCAGCCTACTTACTTAGTTGTTACAAAGCCTTCCAACTTCACTTGGATACAACAGTTGATACGATAGAGGCAGCATACAAGTGAAACACACACAGTATCCATGTACGAAAATATGGCAGGATCCAAGTATACTTAGTTAGAGTATACTTGGATCGTGTCAACCAGGTTTTACTAATATTATTTTGAAAGATATATTACTCGAGAAAATATAGGATGGCCTACAGATTGAAATGAGATCCCATCATAAATACAAAATGTAAAAAAGTCTCGTAATGCAGTTCCTCCACTACAAAAAGTGGTTAGATCTCATATAAACTTAAGTCAGTGATTTTTGTGTCTGTGGAGGCACCTATTCCACAACTTTGTTATCAATATTATCTAATCAATTATCTATCAACATTATCAATAGATATCTTATTTCTATAATAACTATAATGACTTGGCGCTCCCACGGCACCATAATTATAAAAGAGTAATCTGCTATTTCAATTACTAATTAAACCTAAACAATGCACTTAAGATCACTTAAGAATCTATTACGCTGTACTTTCGGGTCGCTCTCAGCGCTCGGGGAAAGTGGGTGTGTGGCCGAAGGAAATATATATTATTTCAGAAATCTGCCTAGCGCTTAGCCCGATCCTGTTGTGTTAAGCCACACCCAAAATTACAAACACACGTGCTTTGATTAAGGCTTTTGCCATAAAATAACGAGCAATTTGTTACAAAAATATATAAATTATATATCACTGTAATCAAAAAACTTTAATCTATTTCCGTATTGTAATGGAATTTTAAATTATGTCTTTATTTTCGAGAAAATTTAGTCGAAATATAAGGAATATTTTTGTGATATTTGACCATCAAAATCTTAAAAATAAACTTGTCCAAAAACGTGTTACAATTAATCCTTAATCCTTTATCTTTAATTTATTATTAATCCTTTATCTTTAATCCTTTTTCTTTAATTTCCTTCTTCATTTGTGTAAAAATACCTAGCCAGTTTTACATAAAATGCTAAATGCCCAATGCTTATTTTGCTACTTTTTCGGACTAGTGATGTGGACTCTCTTAAAGTTATTAGTTAGTAGAATATGTTAGTGTGCAATTGGCAAGACATTAAAATTATAGGCCATCCATAAATTACGTTACACGTTAACGGGGTTGGGGGGGGAGGGGAGGGTATCCCCGTAATGTGACATAGTGTGACAAGGGGCAGGGGGGGTCAAAAGTTTTGTGACGTAACATGTTAAAATTTAAAATAGTAAAGCACGAAATTTATATATGTAAAAAAAGCTTTAAAAATTTTCGACTTTGATCTATATTTATTAATAATTTAGCACCCTCGCTATGAGATATTATCTCACGCAACTAAGTTTAACTTCTAGAGCGCCGTTCTAATGCAAGTGAGACACTAAAATTCTCAAAAGTTCTGAACGGTAAGGGTTTAAATAGGTTTAAGTTCTAAAAATGTGACAATCTGTGACAAGGACGGGGGGAGGGGTCCAAAAGTCCTAAAATTGGTGTGACGTAATTTATGGATGGCCCATTATTACAGAAATAAAGATATCTCATATATAAATAATGGTCACTTATTATATTGGTTTGGTTTAATTAGATTTAACAATTTACAACAAAGTTGTTGAAAAGGTACTTCCGTAGACACTAACTAAAATAACTGACTTGGTTTTACATGAGATCCCGCATCTCTTTGTAGTGGAAGAACCGTGCTGCGAAACTTGGCAGTTAGGTATTTACATTTTATATTTTTGATGGGATCCTCTTTATCAAAAGCATTAAAATTTTCGAATATACCACATTGTTCCAATTAATTCCATCAATAAAATAGACAAGTTGTCAAATTATAGTTTCTGTCAAATATTTTTTTTTTGTATTTGTATTTTCAATTCCTAATCATATTCGTTTTCTTGAATTCCTGGGTAATCGTATTTATTTACCTATTTGACGATAATTTTTATTACTTTTTATTTGATTTCAGATAAACATTTTTGATCTATTATTGGTTTTATATTGCTTTACTCAATATCTTTTGCCAAACCATTTACTCTCATTTTATTAATTATATCTGTTCCATACGATAGAATAAAAGGTCACTTTATAACATGTAAATTTGTAAAATTAGATGGGGATTGTCAAGAATTGTTATTTCGAAGCCAACTTGGAGCCGTTTATTTCATTTTGTATCACCATTCCGTATTTTAAACATGATCTTTATAATATTAATAATGCACAGAGTCAACCAACGTTACGGTACACAATTTATTGAAAAAAATATAAAAATATTATTTTATTACTATAAATTATTTTTGGGCATACAAAATGTGTGGCTGATGGGTATATGCTTTTTAATGAAAGCAGGGTAGGCAAAAATAGACAAAATCGTAAAATAAAAATAGTAAAAGAAATAATTTAAGTAATACATTTAAATGGGAAATGTCATATCATACGGTAGATAAAATCGAGATAAACCGCAAACTGATAAAAATAGCCTAACATACTAATAAAAGTTTAAGGATTTTGTAAAATTTATCACAAAAGAATAGCATAAGGTGTGCCATTTAAAAAATTTGGAATTTTTACCTTAAATATTATTCGAAATTCAAAAATTTACATCCTGTCGCAACAAACTCA